TTTAACAGTGGCACAGCAACACATTTATGTATGTTTACTCTGTGGATAAGCGCGGATAACTTAACTATGTGTATGTATAAAGCTTTTAATTTAGCTTTCACTCAATTTCAATCATACTCCTATTGAGATAAATGAAATCAAAGTAAACTTTATATATGGACATATGCATAAAAAAATATACATAAGCATACATATAGGTAGCTTCTACTCTAACTTCAGCTTATATAATAATTTATTATATGTACGAACTGTATTGTATATAATTTAGAAAATAAATAATAGAATAAATTTAATATTTTGATGCTTTTGTTAACATACCCATATATTCACATATAATTTCCAAAGAGAATGTTTCGTGGCCAGTACGATAATGATGTCACCGTGTGGAGTCCTCAGGGTCGGCTCTTCCAAGTGGAGTACGCCATGGAGGCTGTCAGTCTCGGCACAGCGTGCGTTGGCCTGAAATCGAAGGATTTCGCTGTTGTCGTGGGTCTCTCTAAGCCAACGATCGAGATGGGCCTCAGCCAGCCCAAGATCACTTCCATCGATCAGCATGTGGGCATCTGCATAGCGGGCATCACGGCGGACGCCCGCGTCTTGGGCACATATCTGCGCACCGAGTGCCATACCTACAAGCACACGTATGGCTCACTCTATCCGATTCAACGTCTGGTCAACAACCTGGGCAACAAGATGCAGATCAGCACCCAGCGCTACGATCGTCGGCCTCTTGGCGTGGGCCTCCTGCTGGCGGGCTACGATGACAAGGGGAGTCACTTGTACCAGGTAATGCCCTCGGCGAACGTGTTCAATTGCAAGGCCATGGCCATTGGGAATAGGTCGCAGGGCGCACGCACTTACCTAATGAAGCACCAGGACAATTTCCAGCTCTGCTCCAATGACGAACTGATCTGCCATGGCATTCAGGCAATGAGCTATGCCGCTTCGATCGATGAGCCATTGAAGCTGTCCATTGGCATCGTGGGCAAGGACCAACCCTTCAAGATACTGACTCCTGTGGAAAGCTTGTCGTATCAGAAGACATGCAAGCCCCCAGATACTTCCGATCTCTCCTGGTTTCCGGAAACTCTTAAGGAATTCGACAGCTCTGCGGCGAGTACAGCTGATAGTGCACCGGGTCCATCAGCACCGCGAACTGAAACAAATTCACAACCGAATTTGAGTGTGACGCCAAAGACATCCAAAAATCAAGTCGACAATAAGAAATCCAGTTAAACTTCCTGTTTTTGAGCACTTAGTAAATAAAGTTTGTTAAAATTTTGCGTTAATGAAAATGAACAGAGTATTCGGATGTATGCTATAATTTACATACTTATATTCTGCG